TTTCCAAAGTGAGGACAATCACCTATACCTTCTTCTGAGGTCCAATAAAAATAAGAGGCCTACTTTCGTGTCCTCACTGTTCCTTGGCCTACAAACGTCTCTAATGACTATCCTACGTACTCTCCTAGGCCTACAACTTAAAGGCCTGTATTAAGCTAGGATTTCATATACGTGACACTGTTTATAGAAGTCATAAAAGTCATTATTCTTTATAATGATTATTATTATCGTTGTTATGGTGATGAGTAGTGTTCATTTTTCGTCAATTATGTTTATTACGATTTACTCTTGTATTATAACTAAACCCTATATAATTTTCTTTTATTATCCCTGTTATTATGGTTGCTATGGTGATAAGTGACCATTCTCGGATAATTGCCTTCCACTTTACTTCATAAAATATTTGAATATATCTATGTGTATTTGATCTTTTGTATCCATATTGCTACTGTATCTGTTAATTGGATTGCAAAACGCAGGGGGAAAATCAATATTGTCAAAGGGGAGATATCGTTTTCAGTGTAAGCAACACAACGGTTAAAGCATGACAAAGAACTGATACAAATAACACTTGCAAAATATTAAATTAAAAAAATAATGATTAAAGTAACCACTTCACAAAAATACAAAAATGAAACGCGTGTCATCACAGCCAATCACAGATAAAAACTTTTTACTGTTTCATTTCAAGTTGCATAAACATTTTTTGAACTCCCAATATAAAAAAAATATATATATTCTTTTATTATTACAGTATACAGGGTGCCCCAAAAGTATTGATTCTAAAAGACAAAAAAAAAAAACATTTACAAAGTTACAAACTTAACAACAAAAGCCCCTCTCCTACCTAGGTTTATTTCACCTAAGAGTCGCACGATTTCTACGAGTTAAAAACTCGCGATCTTTGGAAAGGACCTATACGAGCTTATTACGTGTTAGCTACGAGTGAGGTACGATATTATGGAGTTGGTTACGAGTTATGTACGAGATTATTACGAGCGTAACAAGTTTGTACCGAATTAGATACGAGTTAGGTACGAGCCAACTCGGTGCCACGTACTTACTCGCAGGGGTGGCGAGTAAGTAGACTCTAAAATCGATTAAATAAGCCTTTTGAAACCCCTAAATTGTTAAACTTTTTGGGGGCTTCGCCCCCTGGACCAGTTTTGAAACCTTCTAATCGAAGCTCGACCACGCAAACTTTGCTTTCGTCGGGGAAATATGACCCCTCGTTGGGGGAACCGGCCCCTCGCCCCGTCGGGCAAATCCTGGCGCCACCCCTGCTTACTCGTATTCGTTTCGGGTGCTCGCATCAAACTCGTAGATGACCAAAAAGCCGACGAGTATCTAGAGTAGTGTGCAAACTAGGTAGGAGTACCCCGAGTACTCTACGAGCTACCACGAGTTCTTCGAGTTTAATATGAGTTACCTACTCGTGGCCACGAGTTCAGAGCTGCTACGAGAAGATAAGAGTTCTCCCCGATCTTTCGAAATTGTAAGTCCTGTTTAGCCTGGATATATAGCTAAAAGATCCGACCCCAACCATTGCCTAGTTTCAAAATAGTTATTATATCTCAGAGTACTTGGTTTTAAATGCAGGTGGATTTGAAATTTCATAAAATTATTCATAACATAAAAATATTTAAAACCACTAAAATAAGATGAAATAGCATTGTGTTTGTTAACCGACTGTTATTGAAAACTGGCAGTGCTTGAAAAATTTGAAAGCTGCCCTTTAGGTTTTCCATACAACCGGATGCATAAGTACGTACATTTAATGCTGCTCATTTGCTGTTCCACATAAATTTGGCGTTCCATATAAAACAACTGACAAAATATTAAATGGATATGCCACGTAGGACAAGTGTTTAAGTTCACTTATTTGGCATATCCTTGGCGCTCGTGCCTAAAGAAACGAAATGAAATGACAGACACAGCAAGGGAATGCGGAAGTAATAAGTGCCAAATGAAGATTCAGTGAAAAACGACAATAAACGTCATTATTTTTCCCTCACTTAGGCTGAAATATGGAATTATGTCCACTTCATTAAATGGGGACTTTGATGATGAATGTAAAGATATTCAGACTGGTAGGTTCCGAATCCCAGACGTCTTCTGAGGTCCTCAGTCTTTCTATGTGTATAGCCTTTGAAATATTAAGTGTAATTATAATATAGACGATAATAAAGGAAATATAGATATTATATACTGTATTCATGTCCTCTGGCATCTTTTCTTTTTATTCAAATTTCTCTTCATGTTTCCATAATCTATAATCATGTATCCATGACCACCCTCCCCTCACCCCATCAAAACAAAACAAAAAAACCTCCCCCACACCAGTTGGCCCCGATCCTCATTAAAAATGTCCAAAGCAAAAAAAATAAGTAGTTAAAAACAACTCATATTACCTTATTTTGTGACCTAGCCCCGCGGCACTCCACATTCGCCCCCCACCCCCCAATTATCCTCCATTTTAAGACTCTGGAATGCACAAATGTTATTTAACAATAGTTGTTTACAAAAAAAATTTTGTAGCAGAACTCTCAGAATTACGTCACTGTAACGCAAGTATAACATGGCCGGATGACCGTAAATATGTTAAAACCTCTCCACAACTAATCAACTTAAGAATGTCAAACAAATGGCTGTAATAATTAAAGACAAGATAAAGTGCAGTGCACTTATTTGTCGTGCATAGGTTCTTGTTATCTTCAGCAAGTTCTCTAAAAGATGGTTGTTCGTTCTTGTCTTTTTTGGTTTACTGTCATCCTGGAGAATAACAATACTAAATATTAAATATATTATAATATTAAATATATAACATATACACATATTATAATATCAAATATATAACATATACACATATTATTTGATTAAATAAATAACATATACACATATAATTAAATATATAACATATACACATATCATAATATTAAATAAATAACATATACACATATTATAATATTAAATAAATAACATATACACATATTATTAAATATATAACATATACACATATTATAATATTAAATAAATAACATATACACATATTATTAAATATATAACATAAACACATATCATAATATTAAATAAATAACATATACACATAATATATTATTAAATAAATAACATATACACATATTATAATATTAAATATATAACATATACACATATTAT